GTAGTCCACGCACATGCGGAAGGTAGGGGGCTTCTGTGCGAGGACTACATTTGCTAGCCATGAGGGATATTTCACCTCCTTGATGTGCTTAATAGAGAGGAGCATGGCGACCTCCTTCTTCACAAATTCCCTCCTTTCGGCGGAGAGGGGTCTTCTTCGTTGCTGTACTGCTTTTGCCGAGGGGTCCACCAAGAGGCGGTGGGTGATGACCCTTCGGCTTATTCCCGGCATGTCGTCCGGCCCCCATGAAAAAGACAGTGGAGTAGGCGCGGAGGGCGTCTGTGATACCGGTCTTCAGATCTTCAGGGAGCTGGGCTCCAATCTTCACGACTCTCTCCGGCTGGGCCGGATCGAGCGCAAAGTCTTCTACGTCCTCGGCTGGTTTAGCCCTCGGCCTTTTTTCTTCTTGGTCGATGGTTCCGGTGATGGTGTCAACACGGAATTCCGTCTTACTCACCTTCTTAGTGACTTGAAGATAGCAGGCGCGGGCGATTTTCTGATTCCCCCTGGAGTAGCCAATGCCCCCCTCGGCGGGGAACTTGAGGCAGAGGTGCCTCATGGAGATGATGGCCTCGAGGTCCTCGAGGGCTGGCCGGCCGAGGATAATGTTGTGGGCGCAGTCGATGTTGACAACGACGAACTCCACTTCGAGCTGGGCTCTATGGAGCCCGTCGCCGAAGATCACCGGGAGGGTTATTACCCCCTCGGAATCAATAGTATCGCCGGTGAAGCCGGCAAGAGGGGTCTTAATGGGCCGGAGGGACCCCCTCTCCAGATGCAGCTCTCTGAAGGTGCTGAGGTACATTACATTGACGGAGCTGCCCGTGTCAATGTAAGTTCGGTGAATGATGGTGTCGTTTATTTCAGTCCGAATCACCAAGGCATCCCTGTGAGGAGATGAAGTAGGAGGGAGATCTGCGTTGGTGAAGGTGATGGGTTCCTCCCTCAGTCGCTTTACCGGGGGCATATGAGTGACTTCCCCCACGTAAAGCGATTGAGCCCACTTCTTTCGCTGGCTGGTGGAATCGCCCCCTGTATTGCCACCGGTGATCATGAGGATGTGGCGTTTTTTCTCCTGGTAGTGGGGGTATTCCTCCTCCTCTTCTTCCAAGTTTCCGATCTCCCTCTTCTTGCCGAGTGGGATGGTATTCGGGTTCACCCAAGCGTTCACCTTCGTGTGGTGCCCTCGGGGAGGCCCCTGATGAGAAGGTCCGTCCTGCCGAGGGCTCTGAACAAATTGGGACAGGTGTCCCGCTTGTATTAATCTCTCGATGGCCGTCTTCAGCTGGTGGCAGTCATCGGTCCTGTGCCCCTGATGCCGATGGAAACGGCAGTAGGGGAACTGAGGGTTGATAGCATGCACCTCCGGGGGTGCGCGAGAGTCGCGCTCAACGAGGCCCCTCTCCTCGGCAAAATCAAGGATGATGCTGACGGGGTGCGTCAATGGTGTCCGGGGCGGTCCAGGAGGATGGGCTGCGCCCAAGTCTTAGGGTTGCTCTTATAACCCCCCCCCCCCCCCCCCCCCGGGGCTTGGCTTGGCCTTGACGAGGGCGGTCATCAGAGGGTCCTGAAGACTTGGGGTGATTTGGAGGAGCCCCCGACCCCCGGTTGTTCTTATTGTCAGCCCTCGGGGGCTGCTGATCCGGATGCTGGTGATATTTCTCCACCTCCTCGGCCTCAGCATATCGGTCCCCCCGCTGCAAAGCCCTTATGTAGTCGCGGGGGGTTCAATGATGAGGCTCCTTGAAAAGTTGCCGGTGCGGAGGACGGTTTGTAGGAGGGCCAGGAGGGTCCCGTCATGAGCACCGTCGACTTTGTCGGCTTCCGTCCTCCAGCGCTCCAGGAAGTCCTGAAGGGTCTCATCCCTCTTCTAGCGTATGGTTAGGAGGTGGGAGAAGTGCTTCCTTGTGCGACGCCTCCCAGCAAACTGTGTCAAGAATCGCTGGGCGAGTTCTCGCCATGAATCAATGCAGCCCTCAGGCAACCGGTTGAACCATTCGTATGCCGGCCCCTCTAAGGTGGAGAGGAACCAACGACACAAATATTCGTCCGACGCCCCTACCATCATCATGTTGTTCTGATATTTGCTGTAGTGTTCCTGGGGGTCCGTCTTCCTGTTGTAGGGCTGTATGTGTTGCCCTCGGTATTTTTCCGGGATCCGGGCCGCCAATACCCTTGGGTTAAATGGCGTCCGGGTCCGTAGCTGGATGACAGGTTCCCCGGAGCCCTCGACCACCTTCTTCTGCAATTCCTCCATTTTGGCCATCATGGCCTTGTATTTGAGATCTGAATGAGGGGTGGAGGTGGTGGCGTGAGCTTTGCTGGCCTCCATTTCATCAAGCCGGCGTTGGAGGGCCGCAATAATTTCGTGTCGGGGATCCTTCGGGAGGGTCTCCGCCCCCTGCGAACGAACCCGGGCCGAGTGGGCCTGGTTGATCTGGTGGCGAGCATCATTGGCATGAAGGGGTGCCTTGCCTTTGTGCCGAGGGGGACGCTCCTCGTCTGCCCTCGAGACGGACCCTCCGCTTTCCTGGGGCCTTTGGAGTGCTTTCCCTCCGAGGCGGTCTTGGACCCCTCGACGGTCTGGCCCTCCTCCGAGCCGGTTGAGGGCGGAAGTGCGGGGCCTTTCTCTGTTGTCATTGTGGCGGTCCCGGGACTGAACTTCCTGGGAGGACGTATCTTGGGCCACTACCCCTTCGTCGTTCCTAACCCGAGGGGTGGGGTTTCCGAAGGGGTGTGGCAGAGGGGGAAGTATGATGTTCTCCCCCACCTGGGGTTGAGCCGGAGCCAGGGTGCCGAAGGCACCCGGGTTCTGAGTGAGCGTTTGGATGAAGGCAGAGAGCGCCGATTGCACGTCGATGGTGAGAACCGGAGGGCTGATTTGGTCATCGCACCGGTTTTTCTTTTTGGCCTCGATGCCGAGGCGGACATCGGGGGCATTCTGCTGAATCTGAAGGCGTAGGTCGACAGCCGCCTGTTCCAGCCCAACGATGACACCGCCCTCGGGAGCCCTGTGAGAGGCTTCGGGGGCGTTGACGTCGCCGAGGGCCAGGTTCTTGTCTTCTACGTTTTTGGAGTTGGCACGTGTTGTTCTCACCATTTTGGTAGAGGGCTAGTGTTTGGAGAAGGGGGAGGGTTTCTTACTCGATTGTTCGACCTCTCAACGAGAGCACCAAATGATGGATAGTCTACCCGGGGGTATATATCCGAAGGGTTATTGCTGGGAATAACTTAGAGAGAAGTCAGAGCAAGTAAATGTAGAGAGAGAGTGTATTATAAATGTGGAGCGTTTTCAGCGTGGTTACAAATGGGGAAATGGGGTGCTATTTATAGTAGCAATAAATGCCGGACAGGGACACGTGTCAAGCGCCTATTGGCCGAGGGGTCACCTCAACTGGTTGGCGTTGGCAGACGCATGTGGCCGCATTTAATGCGGCTGTTGGATGGGACATCTGTACAGGGTACGGTGATCTGTACGCATGTGAGGCGGATATCATGTCGGGAGAGGTGCCCTCGGCTGCAGAGGACTAGCCGAGGGCTCTTAGTGCCGAGGACCCCTGAGTGCCGAGGGCTCCAGATGCCGAGGGCTACTGTTTTCGCCGTTTTCTCCCAGTTCCTCTGTTTGTTCGAAATATCCATGTTGTGATAGTTTGGAGCCTTCGGCCAGGGGGCCGAAGGCACCCCTGGTGCGTATTGCGGGCTGCTTGGTACTCTGGGCGTCGTGATTTGGGCCTGTTGGGCCTTCTGGGCCTGTTGGGCCTCTACTGGAGTAGTAGGAGTCTGTGGGCCGGGTGTTCCCGGGCCATATACTCCATCAGGATGGTGATGATAGAACCGCTAAAAGTACGGATTATTAATATGAATTTCACCAGTTCGTATACCGTGGGATCATCCCACGATGAGCATGGTGCTCCACTTCCAAAACGACGTAGCTTTACCCAAATTTTTTAAAAAAAATCACGTGAACAGTACACGCGTGAACAGTACACGCGTCCTATTTTTTTCCTTTTGTCCCAGTAGCATGAATGATGTAACTCGTGTGTAAAGATATGTAACTCACGTTATTGATTTATGTAACTCAAGTTCAATCAAAATGTAACTTGTCAAATACATAGTTTAAGAAATAAAAATTTTGATTTCAATGTAAATAATGAAAAAGGGGTCTTATTTTGCCCAATTATTTTACAAAAAAGTGTATATGTTTTGTTTCTAATATATCACGTCTATAAAAATGATTTTTTATAAAATTAATTTTTCTTTGAGTTGCAGAGGCTCACTGAGTTGTGTAACTCGCATTATGAAAAATGTAAATCACATGTAAACAGGATGTAACTTGCTGAAGAAAGTTGACATGTACCTCACGCTACTAGATATGTAACTTGAGATAAATTGAAATGTAAATCATTTTAATAAAAATGTAACTTTTGATATAAAAGATGTAAATACAAAAGAATTTACATGGATGGCTATCCCTCTTGAAACCCGATCCCAATTCCAATCTCAGTTTTGATTTTTTTCTATGAGAGTTTCGAGAACTTCAGAATTATTTCATGCTTGCTTATCTCTTTAATATTTTTTTCAAGATAAATAAACAATCATCAGACAATCATCCGTAACAATCATCAAACAAAATTTTCAAAAAAATTAAACAATCAACCAATCATCAATTCTCCAATAGTGGAGCATAGGAGAAGCTGCCGCTAAACCTAAAGTCAGAAGGGATGAGAGAGCATAGTTTCTCAGTCGTAGCTTTCTAATCGGTGAATGATGAGGAGCTAGCCAAGCCAGATCTCACGCAGTCACTGTTCTTCTTCTTCTTTCTCGGCCGCGGTCACTCTTCTTCTTCCGCGGTAGCTATTCGCTCTCACGATATGCTCTTTTTTTATTAATGAAACGACGTTGATTTGGGATCGGCACACCATGCTCATGGTGGGCCGATCCCACGGTATAAATTGCCGAATTTCACCCATTTAATTCTATAAAAGTATTTAGAAATAATTCTGTTTCTTTGTTTATAAAAGGAAAATCAAAATATTTTTTCTTGAAAGCTTTCGCCCCCCTTCTAAAAATACTTCTACAATCAATTTGAAGCATCCAGACATTGAGGATAATTCTCCTTTCACTTTCAGTCTTTCAGCATAGTCGTAGAATCAAGGGTAGGCTGTAAGCTTTCCTTTTGCTGAATATTGGTAAAGAATCCGAAAGGCGGAGGAATATGACGAGCATTAATTCTCCTGCTTTGAGGCGCTAAGCTAATTCGGGTTTGTTTAGGGTCAGCATCTTCGATCATCTTCCATCTTCATACAATCGCTATGAATTGCATCGATTTTCGACTCAAAGATTTGGTAAGCCCACGCCATCGCCCCCTTGTCCTTTTGACTCATACATCATACGAATCTCAGCGAAATTTATATCGTTCCAAGCATATGCAAAGTATAATTGCTGGCTTTCATTTGCAGGACGTGGAACACTTTGAGATACGAGAGGTTCTGCAATGTGAGTAGCTTGTTTAATTTAGTTTTAGAGTTTGTCTTATTTCCATTTATCATAAATTTAACTTCAGGCCATTATTACTCAAATTCCATGAATGTCTAAAGAGTGTATTTGGAAACATAAGCTCCTTGTAAACCCTGGTGCATATTTTTTTTACACTGGTGCATATATGAAAGTGATGTTTGAGCAATTATTAGGTTATCCCAAATTAATGCAGAAAATATTTGTTTGGGTAAAACTAGAGCTATCGAACATATTAATATTAGTTAAATAAGAACTTAACTTTATAAAACTTCAAAGTTTGAGTTTCTACAAAACTGGATTATTTAAAATTTTTGAAGATTCCCACAAAACTTATTTCTTTGGAATCCTTCGATGTTGGCACAAAATGTTGAACAAACAAGGTGAGCCCAAATTTAAACACAGGAGAACCCAGGTTCACTTCTATACAAGCAGACGATTACATTCAGTCATGTCAGTTAGTTTTTGTACCAGGTTTTGTATTGATTTGTATTAGTTTTCATTTAGTTTGGACACATTCTGTTAGAAACTCAACCAAAGCAGCAGAAAATTAGCAATATATTGGTGAAGGTTGCAGAGTTGCAATGGTGTGCAAGAACACAAAGAGAAGAAACAGGTTGGGGCACTTCGAGAGGTCCCGCTCTCCCTTCCGATTCTACTGAAATCCAGCCTACCCCCTCCCTCTTCTATTTCTTCGACTTATTCTTCTCCAAATGAGGCTTCCCTCAATCTATCTAATTACTTGGCCCAGCCCACTATTACATTTTATTAAAATATTAAACCCATAAGTCCAGGTCTCTATCATCGTCTCTATCACATTCCAGAGTTATAAGACAGGGAAACTGAATATTTGTTTGGTCTCTTTTTTCCTCTGATGGAGAAAAGGGAGTTCGGAATATTTTTACCAAGAGAAAATGTAGTGATCTCGTCAATGAAAACTGTACTTGTACAATGGCAACACATGCAATTTGGAATCTGCAGTAGGGGAGAGAGTGTGTGTATGCATAGTGTTCGTAGACTACATTTTGATTGAGGGTGATCCATATAAGTATTCATGTTGTAGTTTTCACAAAATCCGCGCAATTTTTTTACAAACTAATGGCATGTAATGCATTTTTTTTATCAGGCCATGGTTATAGGATATTCCTCTCTTTCAAGGAAAAGTGTGATTTCAATCTCTCAATTATGGGTGTATCAGAATTTTAGTCTTTAGTTTCTCTGGAAGCATAGATCTTAAGTTATTAACCACGTTGTAGTTTTGGTGTTCCATGCTGGAAAAGTGCTAAATCGGAAATTGACTTTTCTTTACTTAAAGCTGCAAAGTTGAAAACGTATGCAGGTATTTTGCACACAATTTTTTTCCACAGAGCATTAGGTCTGGTTCGACCAAAGGACATTGATTCGGAACTCTTTGACATTACATATGTAAGTATTGGGTGATTACTCGTTCCATATTGTCCCTAAGGATCTGTCTTATGTGTATCCTTATTGAAAATAGTAATGTTGGTCAAAGAATTGTACTCTTTGAGTGATTGTTTTGGTTTTGAGCTTTTCCAAGTGGCTGACATTTGATATTGCTTTGTTTATTTTAAACTCTTACAGGTCCAATGTGGTGATGTTGAGGTTGAGAAAAAAATAGATGAAAAGATTAATCACTTCATCGAAAAGGTGGAGAAGTACCCCAACAAGAAAAATGAGGTACAACCTCTGTCCCGCTAAGATTGTCCCATTTTACCTTTTCGGGAAGTCCCACTAAGATTGTCCCATACCAAATTTGGTAAAGATTGTGTGGCTATAAACCATTCTTACTTTATTCTTACTTTATCAATTTAATATCATCCACACAAACCCACTTTTCTTAATAATCGTGCCACCTTCTCTCGTCCCAATCTTAGTGGGACGGAGGTAGTATATGTTTAAAAGTGATATGTGAATATGGTTTTGTCCACTCGGGACACATACTTTACTATGCATGTCATTATGTTGCACATTTTATACCATGGTGTGGTCCAAGAGCGGAGCCAGGCATCGGGACAGGGGGACTAGGCCGGTACAAAGAATATTTTTTTAAAAAAATTTACACGGAATTTTTTACACTAAAAATATAGACATTTTTTAAATTTGAGCTGGGTCGGGGCCGGGGTTGGCCATCCCCTAACTACGCCCCTGGTGTGGTCAATCATGTGTTTTATCTATTACGAGTACTTGTTTTTATAAACTATTGATGTGTTTCTAATGCTTTCTGTTGTGTTTTAATACTGCAGATTTGTTTATCATTCTATGAAGTGAAGAACAAGCAGGCAACATGGTTTACAAACAAAGTTGAACGCCTATACTGGGAACAGTGGTACATCAATCTGAATGTAGCTCAGCACCACCCAAAAGCACATTTTAACAAATCTCTTTCCTCCAAAGCGGTAGTTGATCCTGGAGGTATTGTGAATTAAGAGAGGTTTACAACATAGAAAGATTTCTTTATGAAAGTGCTTAATAAAGGGATTGGGTTTTAATATTCATTTTCTTTATATCTGAAACTTTTACAGAAATCGCATGTGATGAGAGGAATGCTCGGAGGGCGGCACTGGAGTTGTCTCTCCGTGAAGTTATGTTTCAGATTATCAAATTTGTAAATGAAAAAAAGGACCATGTACCCTCGGTACCAAATCTTGAGGGTGTCTCATTTCCCTATGAGATCACTATCTCAAGGTAATATTTTTGTTATTTATGCTTTGTTTGTCTATTCCAAGGTGAGCCTTCGCGCACCGGTTAAAATGTTGATGTGTGATCAAGAGGTCAGGGGTTCAAGTCTTGGGAGCAGTCTCTTGTCAAAATTTGACAGACAAAGGCTTGCCCCTTGTACACCCTTGCGGTGGGACCCTTTCCCGGACCCTCGGCTTGCGGGGATGCTTTCATGCACCAGGCTGCCTTTTATATGCTTTGTTTGTCTATTCATGTGAAAGTTTGTGTATAATTATTTACTTCGTTTTCCTCCTTTGTGTCCGGAAGTTGTTATCGTTAATCATTATGTAAATTCTTTGCTCTTTCATTGTAATTCTCTATATGTTAGTTCTCTGATAAGCAAATCTAATCAGTTAATTCCATGTTTCTTTAACTTTAGTCAGTTGGTGAAGTTTATTTCTGGGTTGTCTATGATAACATGTAGATTTCAGGTTGCGAAGGGCCCGTTTTGATGGACGATTTTGGCAGGGAACGTTATAGAGGGCTTAGTCTGTCTTAATAAATAGAATGTTAATAAATAGAATCGTGATCACTTATTAACTTAGTCTTTCATTTAAAAATTAAGAAGAATCTTTTTATCAAGAAATACACTTGACCCTTAAATACTGCTCATTCGAACTAACCCTAAGTCCCTAACCGACTCATAGGAACTATATACTTTGTCTTTAGCCATCACAACTGATCTTACGTGATGGTGTTAGAAATTAATTGAAAGAGGCTGTGAGTCATTCCAATCATTTGAAATAATGTAAAATTTCACTCTTTGTTTGCTAAATGTAACAAATTTTATCTGAAACACATGCATTCCCTTATTTTAGTTCATCAGATTCTGCATTTGGGATGGAAATGTTCAAGAGGATGCTCCAGACTGGGCATCCCAGCATTCTTAGTTGAGATAAGAAGAAATGCCCCTTTTGCACTTTATCATGGAAGGCTTCAAGCTTACAATACTTGTAGAAGGTTTTACTGGGGTGATTAAAAAGTGTGGTAGTAAGAGAACCAAATATGTGTACATATAGCAGCATGATGTATCTTACCAATGGATGTCTTCTTCGTGTTCTGTTTTTACCTGTCTCCTATATTTGTGTGCATCTGATTCCACTGGATGCTAAGGAAGCATACGCATGATATATCATAAAAGAAACCTTTTGATGTTTTTGGAGAACCCAGTATCTCAAACTAAGAACCCCTTTGGCATGGATTACTTGGATGAAATGAGCTGGTGTTGATTTTTGTAGTAAAGAAACATTTTGGTAAAAACTATTACAACCAAATAAGTGGATGTTTGGATGGTTGCTTCTTGTTCTGCTTATTTTACTGATATGCATTACATATAAGCTAATGAATACTTCGTATCAAATAACTAAGTTTTATCAATGCCTTTTTTGTTTGACGGGTTGGAGTAAAACAAGCATTGAAATAAATAATACTCCGTAACAATTAGTGTTCGAAGATTAAGAAATTGGAGTGATCTTAACATTCTAAAATCTAAATTGGAACAAAATGTTATCTCGTACACCAAAGGAGAAAGTACTCCAATCTCCATTCTTATGACTAACTATAAATTTGATTTTAAAGTAACTAGTCTTTCACTCGTGTGTTTACTGTTTAGGCATGGATTGGTTCTGGACTGGGTTCAAGGTCAGTCCAAATCGGGCTTTTTTCTTGTGGGTTAAGGCCCGGAACCAGCCCGGGGTTCTACCGGGACCGGGCCGAGCTGGGCTCGGGTCGGGTACTCTTTTTTTTTTTTTTGCTTTTCTAATTAATTCCTACCCCCACACCCCTCCAAACACCCCGCCCAACCTGCTTAATATACCCTAGACCTTGAAAAAAAATTGGTCCGGCCCGATTCCAAAGAACCTTGCAGCCTGAGCCCGCCCCGAAACCACCCCCGGATTGGGTCCTAGGCCCGGGCTCGGTACCGGGAAATTGGGCCGGGTCGGGCCGAACAGGCCCAATCCATCCCTACGTGCGTTGCACGTGATCTTAAATTAATTTGGAAGTGACACAAACTACTCCACATAAATTAGAGCCGAGCCATTATATTTTGAATTGTTTCAAAGAGTTATAACTCTTGATGTAGAAATAACACATTAGTTAGAGAAAAAATTGCAACTTTAATTTAAATGCTATTTCAAAAGCTGATGGAGATGACCCGTTAGACTACTACCCGATAGAAGATCACTTGAAGAGTTGAAGTGAATAAAATGAACTTAGAAAATGAAAGTCATTTTTTTCATTTATTACCAATATAAGAGTACAAGACAATAAAGAAAATAAGAAATGATTGGAAAGAGTGAAGTTTATCACATTTAAAATTTATAAATTATAGAAAGAGAACAGAAGAAAATACTGTAAAAAGTGCATTGATTTTTTGGAGTATCTTTTTTTCTCCTTTCTAAAATTATAATTAATGTATATTTTCAAATTTATTGGTGTGTTCTGTTGAGCATGTTAGGTAGGCACAATGTAATAATATAATTTTTACTGCACTGTTGAAAGTCCAGAAGGATATTTTTGTAAAAAGAATTAAAATTAGAAAAATCAAAAGACTCGTCTTTATCAAATCATATACTTAATTAATTCCTAAAAAGACTCTCTCAAGCCTCTTAATTGGGATCATTTATGGTTGTGTTTTGACATTTTTGTTAGAGAACAAATAATTTTTAATTGAGAGAAAAAGCTGCAACTTTAATTTATATGGTATTTTGAAAGTTGATGGAGATGGCCCGCTAGACTACTACCCAATAGAAGACCATTTGAAGTGAAGAAAATGAACTAAGAAAATGAAGGTCATTTTTCCACTTATTATCAAGACAAAACAATAAAGAACAGATCGAAAAAGTGAAGTTTATCACCTTTACAATTTTATAAATAAATCATAGAAAGAGAAGAGAGATGAATACTTTTTTTTTTAGTCAAGAGCGATAAATACTTTAAAAAGTGCATTTGTTTTTTCTTCTATCTCTCTCTCCTTTCTAAAATTAATTAATGTATGTTTTCACATTTATTGGTGTGCTCTATTGAGCATGTTACATAACACTCACAATGTAAGAACATACTATCCTCCGTATCACATTAGTTGGAACGTTAAAATTTACACACTATTCATTTACTCTACTTTGACTACATTTTATTTATTAATGTATGCAAATTGTTATTTTTTGAAAAATATTGTTGAACTCGTCTCATTACAAAGTTTGATAATCTGATTTTTTTATTTTTTACTAATAGAGACCATAAAAAAAATTACTAATAGAGAATAAAATATAATGACGGTCAAAGTTGTGTATTGGCAAACGTGAAAAGGGGAATGTTGCAACTAAAAAAGAACGGAGGAGGTACCTTTTTAGGATGTTTACTTTTGGACGGTTTTCAGTCCCAGACCAAATCGAATCAGATCAGACCAGACTAGACCAAACTTAAACAGATCAGCCCAGACCATACTTCGATAGTTATAAAATACACAGAGACTAGACATGTACCAGTTCAGACCAAAACAGACTTAAACATATCCAACCAGACCAGACCAACAAATTTCAGTCCAAAAGAAAACATCCTTAGTACATTATTAATTGAAAGTCCATTTTTTGTAAAATGAATTAAGACGGGAAAAATTAAAAGACTAAACTTCATCAAGGCCCAGGACCCACATACTCAGAAGAACAGAAAGTACCACGATCACCTGGGGGGACCCCCGTCGGCCAGATGACCTCGTCGGCCATGCCCTCATCGGCCATGCTCTCATCGGCCATCCCCTCATCGGCCAGAAAAAAGATCTACTCAGAATATGATCCAGAAGCCCGGAGAACCGGGTGCCCTCATCGGTCATGCTCTCATCGGCCATGCCCTCATCGGCCAGAAAGAAGGCCACCCAGAATATGATCCAGAAGTCAGGAGAAACGTGTGACCTCGTCGGCCATGCCCTCATCGGCCATGCCCTCGTCGACCATAGATAGCCTCTAGAACAGGATTTTATACTTATCATTTCTATACACTTTGTATCTGGCCCATTAGTGGCCCTGTTGTAAATGGGTCTCCCAAGCCCATGACTTGGGAGCCCAGCCCTAATTTTCTCTATAAATACTCCCCTTGGGAGTAGTTGTAAGGGTTCACAAAATTCATTAATACAATTCACTTCTCTCTCTAGCTCTCCCTTCTCTCTAGAATCTAGGAGTTAATACTCCATCATTTGGTGCTCTCGTTGAGAGCTGGAACAATCAAGTTAGCATCCTTTGTCGCTACCTTTTTTTGTTTGTTTTATACCCCGGAAGGCAAACCACCAAAATCAGTGGGGCAAATGTCGGGGGTCAGATGCCATGTTTTATTAAAATAATAGAGCTACAAAAAGAGGGGACTAGGTCAATACCTCTTAGACAACAGAAACAAAGCTGAAAATTAAAATATAATCGATGGAATTCCAAACAGATCCATAAAGTAAGCTCGTTGGGCTTGAATAGGAAGAGAATGCGGCCCAGTAAAAAAATTTGGGAGATAGCCCGTATGAGTCGAAGCTAGATAATGGGCTACCCAGTTACTTTCACGCAGGCAGTGTCCGAAAACCATCTTCTTCCTATCTGCAATCAGCCGACTTTCCTGAAGGAGATCAGACCATCTTTGAACATCCTTATTCCTCATCAGTTCCAAAGCTTCACTCGAATCAGATTCCACCTGAAGGTCAACAAATCCTTCATTATCCGCCCATTTAAGAGCATACATCAGCGCTTTAAGTTCAGCTTCAACCGGAGAAGAGGCTGTGACTGGGAAGCTCGTCACGCAAATGATCTCGCCTCTACAGTTTCTGATTATCACTCCACCTGTCGCACCATGAGCTAAGTAACTCGCATCTGTATTCAATTTGTTCTTGCTTCAATGTTTCCGCCATTTAACAATTTGAAAAGAGCTGAATCTAAGATTTGCGTAAGGCTGTATCAATAGTTCATCTCTCAAAATCTTGAAATCTGTTCGATTCTTCACAGGGGGGAAGCTTAAGGACCAATTTTGAGTATATAATTTAATTTGGAAAATTATACTATCAGCAGTAGGAGAAGAGACCCCATCACCCCAAATCAATTTAGTATAATTTTTCCAAATAAACCAACAAATGATACCTGACACATTGTGTTTGAAAATATTCATAATTCCTTTTTCACCTGACAGAAGCCACCATTTCCTAAATACTTGTAAGATAGAATCAGTAGTTGAGAATGGTATACCACAAATCGCCATGAAATACCTCCAGATAGGTTTGACAATATTGCATTGAAAGAATAAATGTTCAAGGCATTCTGATTGTTTCCTGCACATCACACAAATAGATGGTTAGAGAATCCCATTGAATCTGTTAAGCTTATCATGGGAAGAACTAAGTCCAACTGTAACCTCCTCAGCAAGGCCATCCCTGAGGCCCAAGAGAACCGAGAACACGAGGAGGACGCTGCGGCTGACAAGGCTCCCGTCGAGGATGTCTTCCAGGAAGCCATCGGCCTCACCACTCACATGCACAACAAGCTTAACGGCGTCGCCCCAGACGCCCGCATCAGCTTGGACAAGAAGCGCGCCGAAAAGGGTGACAACGTCTCTAGGCAACCGGCTTCTCCTGCCGTTGACCCTCAGCTCCAAGCCGCTCTCTCGGCCATCATCGCCAGCCTGGCCCAGAACCCCACCGTCCTCAGCGCACTCATGCCAAGGACTAGGGAGAACACTACACCGCCTCCTCAGCCCCAGCCGTTGGCCATCAAGCTAGGCAACGACGAAGGGGTGGTGCCCCAGGACACGTCGTCATCCCACTCCCACCCTGTTTCCCCACTTCGAGCTGGACCGGCCCCAGCGCGTGGAAAAGCCTCAGCCTTTAATAGGCTAGGTGTTGGTCCCGTTTGTAATGGGAACAGTCTAGAGGGGGGGGGGTGAATAGACTGTTCAGAAATTTAAATTTTTCTCTAAGTCAAAGCTGACTTATCAGAGATGGTCGAAATCTGGTGACAGAGATGGTCAGGTTCTGATGGCAGAACTAGACCAGGCAGCGGATAAGTTTCTGTCCGGGTAGCCTCAAGAAGAATGCTAAGGCAAAATGCCTTTCTGATAACTCTGAAGGAAGATCTGCTGGACACAGAGTCCAACCTTAAGAGTTAATCAGTAGAATCTTAAGAGCAGGAATTAAAAGCTTAAAGTAAATGCCACCGGTGTTTTTATAGTGGTTCAAGGAACAACTTGTTCCTCTAGTCCACTGTTCCACTAAGCTTGCAAAAACAACGGTTTACAACGCCTTAGTCCCTAGAACTTAAGAAGCACTCCTCGTCTT